GACTACATGAACACGGTCTTCGCATTCGAAGCCGCGATCACATTTGAACTTGTCGTCTTCGTCGTCTACCGTCCTATGTCTTCGCCGACGTTCTCCAAGGCCGATGTCCCCGATCCTGAATTTGACCTTAAGCTTTGTCCCTGCATCCATTGGCCCATGTAGGTAATCCTTGAATCCTATTGCTTCCTTCAACATTCCGTACAGTTCTAGACCCTACTTATCCTCGGTTTCTTTCCTTAGATTCTTCTCTTATCTCTCGGTACAAGCAGCATATATTTTCTCCTTGAAGCCCTGTAGACCCTCCGNATATCCCTTCCCGCCTTTTCAAACCACCTCCTACTCCCCAGTACCGCTACCGTCTTTTCCTTTCTATTCCATGCCTCAAACATCTCCCTGTACGTCCGTCGTATTTTTCCCAGCTCAGTCATGTACACTTCCCTCTCCTTCTTGTACCACTGGCATTCCGCGACTACATCAACACGGTCTTTGCATTCGAAGCCGCAATCACATTTGAACTCGTCGTCTTCCTCGTCTACCGTCCTATGTCTTCGTCGACGTTCTCGAAGGCCTATGTCCCCGGTCCTGAATTTGACCTTAAGCTTTGTCCCTGCATCCATTGGCCCATGTAGGTAATCCTTGAATCCTATTGCTTCCTTCAACATTCCGTACAGTTCTAGACCCTACTTATCCTCGGTTTCTTTCCTTAGATTCTTCTCTTATCTCTCGGTACAAGCAGCATATATTTTCTCCTTGAAGCCCTGTAGACCCTCCGTTTCCAGCGTTTCATCTTCGTCGATGTCGAGCCCCTTCCATACGTCCTCTACAACCTTGACCCATTCCGTGGGTTGTCTACCCCTCTTTTTGTTTGCCCACTTCGCCTCCCATACAATTCTCGGCAACCTCTCCTCTCCCATCCCGCACATGCGATACTGCCAGGTCAGCTTCCTCGCGTCTCTTCCCGACCGTAGGGATTGGATCCCCAATTCTGCCCTCACGGCTGCATTACTTGTGCGCCTGGAGCATCCTAGGATGGTTTTCGCTGCTTTCATCTGCGCCGCCTCGAGTTCTTTCACTACCTTCTTATTTCCTTCCCATACTTCTCCGGCGTACTCTAGCGGCGGTACGATTACGCTCTTCAATACCGTCAGTTTAATGCATGTATCGAGGTGCCGGTCTANCTCTTTTTGTTTGCCCACTTCGCCTCCCACACTATTCTCGGCAACCTCTCATCTCCCATCCGGCACATGCGATACTGCCAGGTCAGCTTCCTCGCGTCTCTTCCCGACCGTAGGGATTGGATCCCCAATTCTGCCCTCACGGCTGCATTACTTGTGCGCCTGGAGCATCCTAGGATGGTTTTCGCTGCTTTCATCTGCGCCGCCTCGAGTTCTTTCACTACCTTCTTATTTCCTTCCCATACTTCTCCGGCGTACTCTAGCGGCGGTACGATTACGCTCTTCAAAACCGTCAATTTGATGCGTGTATCGAGGTGCCGGTTTGCGAGTATTGGGTGCAGCTTCCCTGCTCGTGCTTTGCCCTTTTCCGCTACCTTGGACATGTGTGCATTCCACGAGCAGTCTTTTGCGATCTCTACTCCGAGGTATGTGTACTGGTCCACTACTGCAATCTCCTCGATCCCCCACTTCCGTCTATGTACTG